TCCACTATTTTGATTTTTTAAAAACTGACTTTAGATTCGTAATCAGCGACCCCAAAAACCCCCGAGTGACAACTTTCAAGTAAATTTGTTTCATTTTCAATTTTTGTCCGCCATATTGGATCCGCCATTTTGAATTTTAAAAAACTGACTTTAGATTCGTAATCAGCGACCCCAAAAAGCCCCGAGAGACCATTTTCAAGCAAAGTTTAATTTTTAATTTTTGTCCGCCATATTGGATCCACCATTTTGAATTTGCATATTTGATTTTAGATTAATATTCAGCAAACCCTGAGAATTTTGAAAACAACCATAATTTAAAGTATATATGTTACTGATTTAATTTTATTACAGTTAAGTTTAACCTGAAATAATGCGTTGCCGTGTATAAGTTTGTTAATAACAAAAAAACATAAATAATATAAATTAATTTGTTAAAAAACTACTAAAGCCTATCTGTAGAAACATAAAAATAAGAAATATGTAATTATTTGAACTTTTCCTTTAAGTTATGTTAAAAAAATTGGTGGCTTAGAAGGTGGTCGATATATCGACCACTGGGACTGAAAGGGTTAAAATAAAAATAATGTTAATAATAGAAAATTAGTTTTTAAATAAAAAAAAATTTTTTTTAATTTTTTTTATTATTTACTTCTTTTTGAGAAAAATGTTATGAACATATTTGGAATCCTTATGAATTCACCTTTAATTTAATAAATCAAAATTGATGAAGACTCATCTAGTGCCGGAGATATTGAAGTTTTTGTAAAAAAAAGACTAGCTGCAGCAACAAGGTGAGCTTCGAATAAAAACCCAAAAGGTCTTGCCCATCCAATTTTTTTTTGTATAATTTCAGTAAAGTCATACAATAATTTTAAGACAAAAAAGAAAAAATCGGTATATGAAATTTTGAATAAACTCAGTTTTTCGATTTTTTTCATTTCGGATATTTAAAAAATCTTCATTTGTTAGTGAGTTGGGCAAATTCTACAAAAATTGAGTAGAAATAGACAAAACTTCGATAATATAGAAGAATTTAACTACCAACATCTAAATTTCAAATGTTTCTGCAGATTTTCGGTATAACTGGATACGAATTCTATGTCAGATTTACAAAATTCAAAATAGCGGATCGTATATGGCAGACGATTTGGTAAATCTGACATCGTATTCGCATTCAGTTGTACTGAAAATACGCAGAAGAATTTGAAATTTATATCCTGGTTTGTAGTAATATTCTTCTTCATTATCGAAGTTTTGTCTGTTTCTACTCAGTTTTCAAAGAATTTGCCAAACTCAGTAAACAGAATAAACGATTACTCAGAGGAAAATAAAAATATTTAAAATTTTCAAAATGTATTTTAAAGAAGAAAAGTAGCGTCTTCAGATGCAATATTGAACTTTTGGCAAAACAATTATATTTTGATGTTAAAAAAACTGGTCTTTTGCTAAAATACCTCGAAAACCCGACGTGCAGGGTCTATTATGAAGCTTAGGATTCGGAATTATCACGTTGAAAACCTTCGGAAAAGTATTGTTTGATTCTTGTTTAGTAAATACTGTCGGCCTGTGGTACAAACAATTCCTAAATTTTTGAAAAATTGATGATAAACGCCAATTTCTTCATCAATTTTGGAAATTTTTAAGGCTCTACAGTAATTTTCTGTGCTTTTTGCAATAGAAAATCTTTGTCGCAGCTTAAAAAAATTCGAATCCTCCGGCTGCTACTCTTGAAAAAATTGTTTTTTCATAGAATTTCTTTAAATTTTAAGAAAATATCTCTTCGGGGGCCCTTTAAATGTGGTAAAAATTTCAAAACCTTTTGCGATGCTAAATTTTTTTAGCAGATCGCATAAAGATATTCAAGTTCAAACTTTAACTTTTACATGCGATTATGTTAAAAATAAAAAATGTCAACCTCAATATATGTGCGACCCGAAGAAAGGTACCTAAGAAGCAAACGAATTATAGGTTGGGTTCGAGTTAGATTTATCTTGATTAAAAGTTCATTTTTAATTATTTGAATTTTAAACCAATATTAATTGAATATTTTGAATATAATGAAAACTTGAAAACCAACAATTTTTAATTAATAATTGATTCTCTTTCTGTATTTTTACTCAAAAAATTTAAAACATAACCTCAAATTTTTTCCTTCTTATAGGTACCTTTCTTGTGAACGCGTCACATATATCTTCTTTTTTGACATGGCAAAGAGTTTTGAAATATTTTACCACATTTAAATATTTACAAAGAAACATTTTCTCAAAATTTGAAGAAAATCTATTGAAAATCAATTTTTTCAAGAGTAGCAGCCGGAGATATATCTAAAAATTTTTATTTAAAAATTTTAGTTTTTTTTATTAACTTTATTTTTATTTCAAATTACAAATTTTTACCTAAAAAATGTGTAAATTTTACAAATTAATATTAAAATTCAAAATGGCGTATCTTCAACAATTTTTGAATTTAAAAAAAAAAATTTAGGGAAAGAAGTCTCTTATACATATACATATATATATATATATATATATATATATAATATATTATTATTGAGTTCAATTGTTTAATTACTAATAACATCGAATTGTCTTTAACAAAATACTGTGAAGACGATGGTGACGCTCGGGTATTTGCTTTTCACTAAAGGGCAACCAAACAGCAAGAAAAATGGATTCACAAAATTCAGAGAAGGTACCCCATGTGAGCAGGCCGGAAACAGGACCGCACAATTTCTTGCAGTGTCACGGGTGATCGTGGAAGATTAGATTCATAGAACATCGTGGAAGGAGAAAGAATGAGAAAAGGAAGCGCGTCGAGCCTTCTGAGTGTGTCAAGCTGCAGTAGCGGAAAGACCGTACATAGCTCTATCCACTCATAAGTAGACGACGAGACGATAGAAGAGACTCGCGAGATATGCTTACGGCTCAGAAAGAAGGAGGCGACTTGCCTCGACAAAATGGAGTTGGAGGTCGCAAAGATGTTAAAGTCTTGCGACATTCAAAAGAACGTCAATAGGACGGTAAAAGATGGACTCAAAGCCATCGAAGTCCTGCTGAAAGTGGCAAAAATGAAGCATGCCGCGGTGTATGAGTCGGACGTCGATTTGGCATGCGTTCTGAGCGGTGCCGAGTGTAACCGCAAGGACCGTAAGGAAGAGAGAGAGCGTTCATATAAGCGTAATCTCAAAAGCATCATAAGAGATGCTCAGAAACGGAAGAGAGAGGGTGACAGTCCAGAAGAGACTCGAACCAAAACCGATAAGAGGAAGAAGGAGGAAGCGCCTTCAATGAAAACGGAAGTACCGAAGCCACAGATTCCTCGATTGGAAAGAATGGGGACAAAAGGATCCGCTGTGCTGATCCGAGTAAGCCAAGGATTATCGTATGCTGACGTTCTGGGTAAACTTCGCAAAGAGGTCAACCCGGATGTCTACCATACGAGAATAGTAGCAGCAAAAGCTACAAAGAAGGGAGACCTTCTGATTAAGTTCAGAAGACTCCAACAAGGACGCTTTCACCGCTGAGGTCACCAAGACGGTTGGAAGCATGGGTATGGTGCAGTCGATGGATCGAAGAGTTTCACTCGAGATCCGTGATTTGGATTGCCTTACCCAAGAAGCAGAGGTGCAACATGTGTTGTCTCAAGTGATGGGAAAGCCAGGAAGCAGGAGAGTGACGGTCTTAGGACTCAACCGCCGAGGGATGAAGCTCGCCGTTGTAGTCGCCAACCCGGCAAAGGCGAACAGGCTGGAGAAATTGGGATACGTAAAAATTGGTTTTATGCGTTGCCCAATTAAGAAAAGGGTAATGGTCGTCCGGTGTCATCGATGCTTGGGATACGGCCATATTGGAGCGAAATGACAGGAGGACAGACCGGCTGCGTGCTTTAAGTGCGATGAAGTCGGTCACAGGTTCTCCAACTGTAAAAAGAACCCAAGCTGCTCTTTATGCAAGGAAAAGTTTGGCAATAGGGTGTCAACCACCCATATTGCAGGCAGCGGAGGATGCAGAGTCTTCATAACGGTCCTTGAGGAAGCGAAGAAGACTCTCGCAAGGACTAAAAGTAAATAAGAAAGATATTAAAAGGAGCGAATTTATTTAACTTGTTCTTTTACAGTTACAGTTTTTATTGGGTCGGGGCTGGCAGTAGGGCGCCAGTTTATTAAACTTATTATTTAATTTATATTATTTATATTTTCTTTTGTACTATACCAACCCCACATAACCTTGAATTGCGGAATCTAAGGTATCTGTATGCAATTTCCCAAAACTCTCTAAGCAAAAAAAATACAGTTTCTTTAAAAATAGTTACAAAAACGAAGAATGACACATTTTGGGCTTGACACATTTCTTTTTATGAAACAATAAAATATTTTCAATTACTGATTATTATATTGACGAAAAATAATATAATATTTGATAACTACTATTGGAGCGTATTAAATTAGGTGCAGAGGGTTCTACATTTTTTCTACTAATGATTACTGTAAAATTAATTAATATTGATTTCAAAATTACTTTAGCAACATAATTTTAATATCAATACGTCAATTTTTATTATAAAAATGATGTGATCATCAAAAAGTGAAAAGTAATCCACAACGCACTCCTATTAATTAATTTTTTTAATATCACTTATTTCGTAAGTATCATTAAAGATATTCTTATATTATTTCTTGAAAAATTTGTTTTACTGTGGTTTTCTACTTAAAACTAATAAGTTATTGAATTTCTAAGATATATGTTTTGGATTTATAATGAAATTAAATTTATTTTGCTTATTTCTTCTCATGTCGGCACGAAACTAAATTCAGTTTGTTCATTTATTTTATTATCAACAAAAAAACTAAAACGAAACTAAACTTTTGGGACTGTTCCTGGTAATAAGTCAACTGATTAAAGTTTTGTTAATTGTATTGTATTATCTCAGTACTGTAAAAGAAAGTTTTTCTGTCCATATTGGTTAATAAATAATAATTAATTAATTAGAGTTATACATACCCACAACTTGGTGTGCATCTATCTACAATATCAGAGTCGATTCTGTTAGTTAGTTCTTGCCACTGTTTCCATATATCGTAAGGATAAGGTCCTAAATAACGGTCCAAGTCTAACAAATTATCCTTCAAACCTTGTATTGCTTCATCAGAGACGGCTATTGTTTAGAAAATTATTTGTTTACATTAAATTGTACAATAATTAGACACACTGAAAAACATCAAAAGTTTTAACTGTTGAGTAAACAATGACAAGAAGGAATAAACTTAGATCATAATATATCCTAAATACACTTCTGTCCACAAGTATCAGGACAATTACACGCGACTCTATGAAAAAACATGCCATCACTTTTTCAATCATATCTCGTAAATAAAAGGAGATAGGTACAAATAAAACTTAAATACGGTTAGAAAGCTGATAAAATTTTGCGTAAAATAAGCCGTCTTTGAAGTCATTTCGTTAACTATTTTTTGAGTTGTAGAGTGAGAAAGAAATAAACAAAATTATCAAATTTCAACTTTTTCAAAAAACTAGAAAAATTATAGATAAAATTTTTCTAAAAACACAGAAATCTTCGTTAAAATTTCAGCTTTAAAATAAGCCTTCGAAAATAAAAAAAAAATCCGTCTTCGATATATGATTAAAAATGTGAAGCCGTGTTTCGACCGATTGGTGCATTGAAATTTAACTGTGACGAATCGATTCTGGCTTCGCGCGGCAGCGAATGAGAGAGAAAGCAGGGACAAATTCATGCGGGGGAACGATGAACTTTCGTTTTTCTTTATAATACTCGTGAAACATCATTATTTATTATTACCCAGCATAAATCCGTCCCTGTTTTCTCTTCCATTCGCAGCCACGCGAAGCTAGAATCGAGCCGTCACAGTTAAGGGGGAGTGACACCTTTAACACGAAAAAAAATCGAATTTTTTTTTTCTTGTTTAAACGATACTTTATAATGTGTAGAATAGAAATTATATCATTAGAGATGATTTCGAAGTTATTTTATGTGAAAAAAAATCAAAATCTGCAAAAGGTGTCCAAGAGCGCTTCAAGTGCTTTCAAAACTTTAAGGGGGTCACCCCGTGTGGCAGACGTTTTTTAAGTTTTTTTGGGATTTTATTTTTAAGAACCATGGAAACTTAGGACTTTAAAATTTTTACCATATATTCAGTTACATTTTAACAACAAATTAAAATTTTTACAAGTAAAAATATTTTAATGATTCCGAATTATAAAACTTTTTACTTCAAACAACTGCCAAATACACCAAAATTAATATTTTAAAAATATCCTACGCACTCAAAAGCTAAATCTATCTCAGGTTCAGAAAAACTTTGAATTTTTTATTTAGATTAAACGGTGTAACCAGAAACTTGCCCACCGATTTGCTCTGCAGAGAAAGGAGACCAACTTCGGCGCCCTCTATTGGTAACAAATTTAAACTTTTTTTAAGTATAAATATATTTTTGTGAACTTAAAAAGTTAACATAAATAAATCCCTCAAAACCAAATTTTGCTTACTTTATTCCCGTGCCTTAAAAAAATTCATGAAAAAGAGGTTCAAAAGAGGCCTCAAAGGTGTCACTCCCCCTTAAATTCCAATGCACCAATCGTCGAAACTCGGCTTCACATTTTTAATGATATATCGAAGACGGATTAACCATTTTTCATTTTCGAAGGCTTATTTTAAGGCTGAAATTCTAACGAAGATTTTTGTGTTTTTAAAAAAATTTTATCTAAATTTTTCTAGATTTTTGACAAAGTTGAATTCAAGAGACCAAAATGAGAAAATTTGATCATTTTTTTTATGTCTTTCTTACTCTACAACTCAAAACATAGTTAACGAAATGACTTCAAAGACGGCTTATTTTACGCAAAATTTAATCAGCTTTCTTTTTTTTTACTGAATCAAATAAACACGCACGGTCGGTCTCGTATGTATAAAGATTATAGGAGTGTACCTTATTGTAATTAAAAAATTTTTAATTTTTATTTATAGGATAATAATTTCAAGAAAAAATTATAACCGGTAATTTGATCGAGACTTACATTTATTGAAGGTAGAATGATTTATGTTTTAGAAATTTATAAGTGGTCAATTTCAAAATCAATGTACATATACTTACGTTCTGAGCTGAGAGTTTCTTCTCTAATATCCCATCGTTTTACTATAAATTCTGCTTTTTTAAACCAACGAATGAAACCAATTCTTGAGGACTTTTCTTCAAATTTATCAACAGCACTGTGGAAATAATAGATTATTTAGTTTTAGAGAAGACTATTTACTTCCTGCAAACATTGTTTAAAACGATTGCAAGAAGTGTACTTTTGAAATGAATTTTATTCTATAAAAAAATAATTAGGTATTAATAATAAGTTGAACATTAATTATTTTCAGTTGAGTTGTACTTTTCTAAATAATAACAAATTATCATCTTCGTTATTTTAATTTGTATGATAACAAAGAAATCACTTTTTTCGTATATTGTTTCTCTTGACTTTAAACAAACTTTTAAAAAACTTATAAACAAATTATGACTTTTTGGTTTTCACTATCTTAAAGAGCGTTTCAAACTCTATCCGAATCAACAAGAAAGTGAAAAATAATTTTTTGTCCTACCTGCACGGAAAGTATGTCATTTCGGGCACTTAAGGCGGGCGCAAAGTACCACATTACGCCCGGGAGTGGGGGAAGCGGGCGGAAAAGTATTTTTTGTCCTACATGCGCGATAAACTCGACTTTCCGTGCATGCATAGCGGGCGGAAAGTAAGCTTTTGCCGCCCGACTACCAACAGCGGGCGGAAAAACTACTTTTCCGCCCGCTTACTAACAGCGGGCGGAAAAACCACTTTTCCGCCCGCCTCCGTGGCCTTAGCGGGCGGGAAAACGACTTTTCCGCCCGCTGCTTTAGCAGTATTAAATAAATACTACTAATTATTATATTATCACTTTCTATTACTTCAAATCAAAACGGAGTCAATTTTTAAGTAAAATTTTATTGTCAAATTTATCAAAAATATTCGGACTTGCCTTAGGCTTAATAAAAATGTTTCATACACATTTAATAATTAGTGTATATTCATTTTTGAATTTACGGATGCGTCTTGTTTATCGCGCATTTGGACAAAAAATATCGTGTGCAACTCGGGCGGAAATGTCAATTCTGACCTCGTACGATTGCCGCCCTCGCTTCGCTCGTGCGGCAAATTTCGAACTCGGTTAGGAATTGACAACTTTCCGCCCTTGCCACACAATATACTATTGCGCCCGCTTGTATGACGTCAGCGGGCGGTAAAATATTTCCCGCCCGATTCCCCTACCTACGAGCGGGCGGAAAAGTATTTTGCTCCCGCTTGTTAATTATTCGATTTTCTTCATTAAAATGCGACATTTTCGACTTTTTTATGGTTCCGTACACCTACGGTGTATCGGCGGAACCCTATTGGTGAGACTCTGTTGTCCGTAGCCAAATCGTGTCCCCCCCTAGCGGCTAAACTATTTGACCTAAAGAGCTCAAATTTGGTCCAGATATGTATTTTCACTCGTAGATTACAGGAAAAATATAGCGAATGTGATTGGACGTGATGGGCATAGCGTTGTCAAGGAAATAACAAGATTTTTGGCCAAAAATGCATAAAAAGTGACCATTCCCCCCCCCCCCCTTAACTTCTAAACTATTCGACATGGAGAGCTGAAATTTTGCATGCTGGTGTATTTTTACTCGAATATTACAGGAAAAATATAGAGAACTTGATATGTAATGATGGCCATAGCGTTGTCAAGGAAAAACTAAAAAATTTTTTAAAAAAAAATTTTTTTTCCTAACTTTTACATTATTTTACCTAATGAACTGAAAATTGGTATCCTAGTGTATTATTACAGTCTGACGACAAAAAATTTATTTAAGAAACTTTTTGAAAAAAAATCAAAAAAAAATTTTTTTTAATTTTTTTTTTCAAAAAAAAAAATTTGTTTTAACTTTTTTTAGTTTAAACACGTGGCATTAAATATTTTAAGGAAGAGAGTGAAATTTGAAGAGAATAAATGAGAGATTGTTTTCTGACTTTAATTTCTTAACTAAAAATAAAAAAAAATTGGACAAGTGCGAGTTGTACTCGCATTGCAATGGCGGGTTCCGCACACAAATATTAAAACAATACTTGCAACATTGATCGGTAATTGGTAGAATTAAAATAAACAATTATAAAAATATATTAAAATCATTTGATAAAAAAAAATAACTAAAAAAAATTAAAGTATTGTATATCTAATATTGTAAACAATAATAAGCAGAGGAACTATAATAAATTTTGAAAATTTTGTTCCTCTGCTTATTATTGTTTACAATATTAGATATATACAATACTTTAATTTTTTTAGTTATTTTTTTTATCAAATGATTTTAATATATTTTTATAATTGTTTATTTTAATTCTACCAATTACCGATCAATGTTGCAAGTATTGTTTTAATATTTGTGTGCGGAACCCGTCATTGCAGTGCGAGTACAACTCGCACTTGTCCAATTTTTTTATGTTGACTATAGAACTGCAAACATTTTCAACTTGTTTTATTTTGTCTATAAAAATTTGCAATTTTTTTTTATTTTCTCTAAAAAAAATAATGAGACATTTGGTTTTGTTCCCATTTCGTTTATCAAAATTGTCAATTTTAAAAGTTCTTGTTTCAGTTTTGTTCAATTATTAATTACTACATTCTAAATAAATACTATGTTTCCAGAATACATTGTTTTTTATTTCTATTTTAAAACTTCTATCATTATAGACTTCATTCGATGTAATGTTTATATATAGCTTAATTTTTATCTAATATGAGCGTTTAGTCGTGCGTGCCCTCAATGCCATTATTCGCCTCGGGCGCGAAATTGTGTCCCCTCGGTCCCTTTATTTCGCCATCGTCGCAATCACCTATTTTGCGCCCTTGTTAAAAAAATAACTATTTTGACACGTAAGGTCCAAATAAGACCAGGTCACATATAAGAAAAGGAAACGGGGAAAGGCGGGCAAAATTTTGTCTAGTAATAAATAAAATAAACAATTGAAAAAATTAATGAAATAATTCTTACAATAATAAATAATAAATTTTAAGTATAAGATTAAATTTTTGAATTATTACCTGTAATGAATATAATGAAATCCTGGAGGTATCATTTTAATGCCTCGAAAATTTTCCCCAATGTTCCAGGACTTAATGTCTATTCCAATATCAGTACCCTTTGGAACATTCAACATAACTAAAGTACTGCCTTCAGAAAAAAGATACTTAGCAAGTTCTTGATTTACTTCAAAAGAACTACTGGATGCCATTATTTTTTCTGCAAAATTTTTTTTATAAAATTCTATTAATAATTAATTAAAAGAGGTCCTATAAATACTGATCAGACTCTCGAAATTCGTATTGACAAATTATTTTTTGATAAGTTTCATATTTCAAAAATTCTTTAAATATAAATTTCATTTATCTAAGAAATGGTGTATCTAGAATAAATAAAGTTAATATTAACATGTAGGTCGTCATGAATACGAGTGTATGTGATAGAAACGGATAGAAGGGATATGAGAATGTTTTATCTATTTCTATAACATCCATTCACTTTTTTTAAGTTTCTATTTAAACACAATTAAAAATAAATAACGAAATGAGTAGAAAATGATCAGAATAATATATTATTATAAAGATAAGTTGGTTTTTTTAATAATTTTCCTTAAGGGTCTACAATTCCCTCACCTTCCCCTATATTACTTTTAATTTCCCAAGTTAAAAATTATGCTAATTTATAAATTAGATTTCATACAAATTATAAAAAATAATTATTCTACTTAAGAAAATTTATATTATACACAATTGAGGGCTCGGATCGAAGAACCGACGCTTCGCAATGTTATGTGCGTTTATAAGCGTCGGTTCTTCGATCCAAGCCCTCAATTTCATAGTGTGAAATATATTGTAATTTATGTTTATAATACTTAGAAAATCTGTAAAAATAAAATTCAATTAGAAAAAAATGATAACAAATATCTATTTTCAATATCGTAATAATGTTAACATTAAACTGTAGACACCTAGGTACCTTTCGAGTGAATAATATACTGAAAAAAATAAAATCTCAAAGTGAGAAGAAAATTCCGCTTAACAATTATTTTTACATTTTATTTTCAATATACGAATATTCATCTACAAAAAAGAGGAATTTTTGTTTATATTTGAAAGTTTTTTAACTAAAAGTTGAATTTTAATCTTTCTATTCTTTGATTAGAATTATTCCTCTCAAATTGAAACAAATTTATTCTAGAAAGAAGATTTTTAAGTTGTTTTTTGTTTTTCTGAACGCAGCTTCAAACTGTTTAAAAAGTGACATTTAAAAATTAAAAAGGAAAAATTTAGTGCCCATATGTATGAGGAAAAAATGCTCCAAAAGAAGAGGAATCGTCTAAGATTGAAAACATTTTTTTCGGTGAATGATTATAAAGTTTAAAATTCCTTTAAATAACGCAATTATAAAGATAATAATTTGGGTGCAATCATGCGCCCTCTTCAGAACCCCTTAAAGTTTGAACTTGAATAACTCAAAATCTAGCATCGCAAAAGGTTTTGATATTTTACCACATTTAAAGCACACTTAAAGAAACATTTTCTCAAAATGTGAAAAAATTTATAGAAAATCGATTTTTTCAAGATAGGCCCACAAATATTTAATTTTATTTTTCCCTGACTTTTCCCTGATTTCAAGACAAATTTTCACTTTTTCCCTGACCCTAAAGAATATTCTGATTCACTCTAAAAAAATTATTAAATACTCAAAAAAATGTTCTATTACATTTATTTACAAATTTCTTTAAGGGGGATCCCTCATGAGAAGTGTGCAAAATATGTCAAAATTCAACATTTTTTTCTCGCTTATTTTATTATAAAAGTTAAAAAGCCTTTTTGCATAATAAAAAGTATAATTTAAAGTATTAAAAACAATAAAAAATTTTAAGATTTTTATATTATGTTAGGCTGTAGAGGGCGCCAAAATCGATGCTTTTATTTTGAGGCACTCCGCGGTTGCAGATTTAGGGCCGTCCCCAGTGGCTTAAAACAAAAAACCAAAAGAACTTTTACAGTTGAGGTAATAATCTAGTGGTTATATACCTAAAATTACCTTAAACAATCAAAATTTAAACAATTGGCACTACTTTAAAAAAAATTGAAAATTTTTTAAAATTTTTTAGGTATACTCACTAAAGAATATATTTTTTAACAATATGCAAAAAGAATTAGACAGAAACATCCATCCGTTTACTTAGAATCCATCCGATTAAAAAACCGATTTAAAAAACAGCGTTTTGAGAAAAACGCAGTTAAAGTTTAAGTATGATTTTTCAGATTTATTATTAAATGTCTGTTATAAGAGCTTACCAAATTTTAATTTGCTAGGGTGATTGTGCCTTTTACTACGTGTTTCAAAATCAGCCACGTTTAAAGAATCATTTGAAGCTGTATCAGTCTTAATTTTTTTTCTAAATTTTTTTAGTACTGAGTAGTTAATCTTTCTTAGAACTAAAAAAAGTCTTTGGGTCATAAAAATAATTTAATTTGTATTAAAAAACGGAATATTTAAAAAAAAGTGCACAAGTGTAAATTACTATTACGAATTTGCTTGAAATACTACGCGTGCATTACTACGCTGTGTCTATTAATATTAACCTAGGTTTTAGCTTTTAATTTATTTTAAAAGGACAAAATAATATATTTAATTATTTTATTATTATATAAAACTTTATTCATAATATGGAAACAAAATATTTATTTTTATTTAAATAACAAAATTAAATTGAATAACTAATAGAGGTTACATGTTTAAATCATGATTTTTATATATTCAACAAAAACTTTAGTTCGTTTTCCTTCGTATACTGCATCCTAATTTTTGACATTGTGCTTTTATGCAGTTTTCACAATAATAAAAACTATAGAATACTTTTATATATTAGTTAAAAACTATTTTCATTGCGTTCACTACAAACATTATAAACAAACTCGAACTGTCAACAACTATATTTCAGGTTGTGTTACATGGCGTAGAAATAAACGCAAGCGCGAAAAATCCTGTGTCTGATTCTACGTTTAAAATTAAATAATAAAAACGTTAAAAACATAACATTTTCTTTAAATTTATAAAAACTAATGTTATTGCTTTATTTAGAAATAACTTAACATTAAATATTTGTTCACGAAATACATAAATATATTTATCTTTCTGAAAGCACTCTCAACTCACTAATGCAACTTTTTGTGCTCTCATCTAAACTAGAGATTTTCAAAGTTAAATAAAACGTATTAAAATGCATTTTTTTAGAATTTTTCATTAAAAATAACAATTAATATAAACTAAAGTTTTATTATAGATATTTTATAGACTATTATCTGTCAAATAAAGTTTTATTATAATATTTTTAATGAAATTCGTAGTAAATGGGGCACTCGTAGCAATACACACAATCACCCTATCCTAGGTCAATAAAGAAAGTTATAAGCTTCCTCATAAGCCTCTTCATGTTCTTCGCGAGCCTTTTTATTGTCAAAAACCATACAAAATTGGCTAATTCAATGAATTTGTCCAAAAACATAAACTGATATTTATAATGATATCTCGCGAACCGAATAAGAGTTTTTAATGTTTTTGGTCTTAAATTAAAGATGAGACTTGAAGGATCATACCCATATAAGTTTTAAATTTTTTCTGCAATTTTTAAAAAATATTCTAGAGTTTAAATATTGTCAAAAAAACTTTAATTTTTTTCAAATTTGTCGATTGTTAAAATCTTTGTGTAATTTCCTAAAATTTTAAATTATATATCATCTAATATAGAATATTATAAGCTTTCAAACGGTAGATTTGATAAGTTTCTGACATCAGTTTTTACAGAAATATCATGATTTAAAGATTGGTATGATTTTGGGCCATGTGCGTGGAGCCATACTGACGGTAGTGTGATGTACTATAACTTTTGATAGGAGCTAAATTTTGTCATAAAATTTGAAACCTTTATTTTAGAGATATTAAGGATTTTAAAAAAGAAACAAAAAAAATTTCGACGAAAAATTTTTTTCTCATGAGTAATCCCTCTTAATTGTAAAATTATTCAAAAACATTAATAACTTCATTTTTAAATAAGTATTTAATCATTATTATTTTTCTGTAGGAATTAAAATTCTTCAAAACATTCAAATTCAAACATTTTTGAAATTCAACAACTGAAACCGCGCGTTGAAGAGGGATCTAACTTTGATAATGTTAATTTTGAGAAAAATGAAAAAAGTGACATTAAATTATTTTAGATAAAAAAGTTGTTTGAAATATTTCCAAAGAGGAGAAAAACTGTTCTATAAAGTGTTTCTCTAGTATTTTCTCTAATTTTTCATAAAAAATTGATAAATTATTTTTTTCAGTGGAAAAGGGATCTAAATGACCACTTAGATCCTTTTTCCACGAAGCAAACATTTTTTATTCATTAGTTATTGGATTATTAAAATATTCAATATCGAATGGTTTTTTCTTATTTTTATAATTATTAACAAGTATAAAAATGCCTTTTTGGAAGCATTTTATGAAATATAGTTTTTTAAAGAATATTTAATTTTCGATTTATCACTTTGGAACACTATTTTTTGTTTTCACTACTAAAATATTTGCAAAATCTTTAAATTCCTATAAAATTCATTTTAAATAAATTTTATTTATTAATTTTACAAAACGAATTAATTAAACATTAAATTATTTTCATTTTGAAACTTGTAAATCTTTGTTTATGAACAATAATTTATGATAATTGAATAAAAAATTCAGGAGATTTTTTTATTTTTTACAACAAAATTATATAAAAGTAATATTATATTTGAATTAAATCAATATGTAATAGAGCCTATTTTTCTATATAGGTAAAATTTGATAAAAAAATGAGTTAGATCCCTTTTCGACGTGCGGTTTTAACTTATAAGAATATTATTACAAAACATGAAGAAGGCGATCACTCCGAGTGAATTCAATTATTTTTACAAGTAGTAAAATTTCTCAAAAAAATGCAATTATTTAAAAAAAATATAATAAAATTCGTTGCAAAAATTCAATTATTTTCATAAATATAATAAATCGATTATTTGGTGATTCATTTTTAAATCAATTCTTATTGGAAAATTCTAGAAGAATTCAATTATCTAAATAAAAAAATAATTTATTGAATAATTGAATGTTTATTAAAATTGAATTCTCATAAAGAATTTTATCAAGAAATTTTTAAATAATTGAATTCTTTCACACAAATCTTAAGAAAATTTTTAAGAATAATTACATTTTTCGAGGAATTTGATTCAAATATTGTATCAAAAATAATTAAAATCCTGCGATGAGTTTTATTATTTTTTATGAAAATAATTAAAATTTTCCCAAGAATTTTATTAAAATTTTTCTAAAATAATTGAATTTTGAAGAATAATTTATTTTATTATTTATGAGGATACTTGAAATTTTGACAAGAATTTTTTATTTAATTTTTGAACATAATTGAATTTCTGCGAAGAATTTTATTACTTTTGAAAATAATTTAATTCTTCCAATGAATTTTATTCAAATTTATAAAAATCATTGAATTTCTGTGAAGAATTTTATTATTTATATAAATAATTGAATTTCTGCTACGAATTTTATCCAAGTTTATAAAAATAATTGGATTTCGGTGAAGAATTTTATTATTTATAAAAATAATTGAATTCTTGAAAAGAACTTTGTTAAATTTGGTATTTTAACCCTTGGGCGGGCAAGCGGGGTCCACTGGGCCCCGCGAGCATGTATTTTTCAAATTTCTCCGAATCCGTATGAAAGAATGAGTTTATCCTAGAAATTCTGTTAAATATACTAAAAATACATCCAAATACTTTTACAGTTTTCATATTCCAATTGTACATGATGCTACATGGATGTTTAAACTTTTTACCGGCACGAACGGGCAAGCGGGGTCCAGTGGACCCCGCATTGTCATAAGCATAAAAAAATTGCAATAACGTACCTACACGGTAAAAAATATACTATGTGGACTATAGTACCACTTAGTGGAATAGACCAAATTTACAAATTGTGATATTAACAAATAACAAAATAGTGTTTTTATTTTAAGAAATTTGAGCCTCCACCAAAAAATTCTGCCTTGCACTAAGAACGGTGTGCCGTCTAGGCATGGAAACGTTTTTGTCCTAGAAACGTTCCTAAAACATTTTTAGAATGTTTCATGTCCTCTACATAACGTCTTAAAAACGTTTTTAGAACATTGGACGTTTTTAAGCCGTTATGCAGCGGAAATGAAACGTTCTAAAAACGTTTTAGGAACGTTTCTAGAACAAAGACGTTTCTGTGCCCAGAGGGTGTGTTGTTTTTCCCAGGGTATTTTGAAAATCTATCTGTTTGTTAAAATTAAAATCTTAATCATCATTTTTAAATTTTAATGCATTTAAATTCATAATATAATAAAAAGAAAACAAAATATACAAATATCTATGTTTTAAAGAGTTATACCTGTTTGGAGGCTTAAAAAAGGGTGTTTTTCAAAAATTTTTATGAGTACATGCAGTTTTAAATTATTGTTGGCAACATCGGCTTTTAAAATAAAAAAAATGTTTTTTATAAACTACATAAGATTATCTAGTGAAAATTTTAATCATGTGTGCATGATTATAATTTTAGAATTTTTTTGGAAGAATTGTGAGACTTGCAAAAAAATCGCATTTTTCACCCAAAAAAATCGTCTTTAATTCTTCATAAAAAAATCCTGTTTATCAATTTTAAAAATCGTGTGTACTTCACTAAATAATCTAAGTAGCTAAAGTTAAATTTTCAGGCCAATCGGACGAAAATTTTTCGAGTTCTACTGCTCGCCGATTTGCAAAACATGGTTAATACGCGATTAAAGTTTAAATGTTCTATTTTGACACTCCGGAATTGATCCAAAAAATTACATTTAAGAAAAAATTCAAATTGTTTTCATGCAAGGACGTTTTTGATTATCAATCTAGGAATATCATAGTATGTTTTAAGCCAATAAAAAAACATTGTTTTAAAAAAAATGCATTTGAAGTTAAAATTTTCTTTTTTTACAATTTAGAATTTCTCCAGAAAACATAATTTTAAAGACATATCCAAGTTGTTTTCATGCAAAGACTTAATAGATTATTAATCTAGGGATGTTACAGTAAATTTAAAGCCAATAAAGAAAAAATCGACAAACAAAAAATGCCAAATAGGTATAACTCCGTAAGCGTTTTTGAAGCGGGGTCCAATGGACCCCGCTTGCCCGCTTACGTACTTTTTTTAGCTTGCCCGCCCAAGGGTTAAATAATTGAATTCCTGTGAAATTTTGCCGAGAATTTTATTAAAATTTTTTAAAATAATTTTATTATTTATAAAGATAATTGAAATTTTGACGAGAATTTTTTTTTAAATTTTGAACATAATTGAAATTTTGCCAAGAATTTTTATATCTTTGGAAAATAATTGAATTTCTGGAATCATGTGTAACTTTTCCAAAATTCTATTTTTTAGTATTTTTAACTAAAATTCTTCTATCAATCTAATATTTTTGAAAATTGTAAAAATGATTCATTAAATAATTTATAAGTCATAATTTTATGATAGTTCTTGAAAAATTAAGTTACTTAAAAAGAAATTATTGTCAGAAATAGAAAAAATTGAAGGTTTTGTATTAAAATTCATGGTAATTTCATAGTTTACTGGCAAACAAAAAAACATCAAAATTCAGAGTTTTCTCATGAATTTTAAAAATTCAATTTTTTAATCGTTTTTAAGAAAATCTTTATTTTAACATAAATGTATTCTATTAACTTAAAATGAAATAATCTAATGATCAAAAACTTTGATTTAATAACATATATTTATTGTAATAAAGAAATTGATGTTTTTCTTGGTAAAATATTAAAAGTGAAATTATTATTGTAGTAATATTCTGTCCCACATTTAAAAAGATATAATACAGAAACTTTTAATTTATATATACATGTTGTATATGAATATGCTTTAAGGTTAAGAAATATTTTTACGATAAAGAATTCTTTTGAACAATTGATATTAATGTACACTTTTACATGTGGAAATAATGGGAGTTATAGTTTGTAACTTTCATAATTAGTACTTGCATGTTTTTTTTTTGTTTACATCTGATGATGAGATTTAAAATTTGCAATGTTTATGTTTTTATTTACATTAAACTTTACATGAATATAATAAGATTATTCTCGTTGTTTGCACTATATGCACTTTATGGTGCGTTTTCAATAGAAACCATTCTCTATGGGTGCAATCCCATTACAGCAGAATACGTCGACCGAAAACAGAAAATCATGAGTGCGAAAGAGATAGATAGATATTGTTATTCTTTTCACTCTCATGATTTTCTGCTTTCGGTCGACGGGGTCGACGTATTCTGCATACATGGGATCGCACCCTCAGGCTGTTTTGTGTTTTCAGCACTTGTTACGCGCCGAGTTACCGATTAATACGCAACTCTAACAAAAGTACGGAAGCGCCTACGCGCCACGAGGCAAAGAGAGGAAACCTGTTTCTGCTAATGTCGTTTTAGCTTGTGAAACATAAGGTGCTTCTACACTGTAAAAAAATCTGCTGTAAATTTACTATGTCCGACGTTGGAAAGTTTGGTCACTATGTCCGACGTGGTATTTTTACACGCCGACTGTAATCTACATAACCTGCAAATATTTTTTGAAATAATATTTTCAGTCGTAACTTTTTGTATTTATGAAATATTTTGTTTGTTATATTATTATTTACTTATAAATTAGCATATACTTTCTATAAATGTACATTATATACACTTTTTTAGAGTTATTTATAAAAACTTGAAAATTTTTTGAAAATCTTAAAGGAATAAGAAAATTACATTCGCCATGTAATTGTACAGATCGTGCGACGTAATATTACGTCAAAGTGTAGAAATACACGCAATGTAAAAATACCACGTCGGACATAGTGATCAAATTTTCCTACGTCGGACGTAGTAAATTTACACAAAACTATTAAATTACATAGTCGTATAATGTAAAATTATTAAAAATAGTAAAACTACTTTTGGAACGAAATAAATTTACTACGTACAACCTATAATTTTGATGTGTGAAATTACAAGTTTCGTGTTATTTTACACCAGATTTTTTTACAGTGTATACCTCCGGTGGATTGGTCAAGCAATCGGCTTGATGAATTTTCACGGTCGGAAAATGTACTTTCATGGCGGGTATTTTTGAAAAAGTAAATGTTGAAAATGTTTTTACTTGAAAATTTATTTGAAAAAATGATTTTATCATAGAAATTATTTTGAAAGTAATGTTAAAAAACATGTTTTATTTTAAAAGTTATCAAATTTTAATTCAAAATGTTTTAATTTTCCAAAGAAGTGTAAAAAGCCTAATGTTTTTGAAATGCTAGTACAGACGGTACAGACTGTTTATTATGAATGTACATAACCTAGCGTAGTGTTATCGTGCTTGTGATATTATTATATTCTAAATTTAATTATATTAAATAATAATGAACAGACAACACAACGCTAGGTTATGTACATTCATAACAAACAGTCTGTACCGTCTGTACTAGCATTTCAAAAACATTAGGCTCTTTACACTTCTTTGGAAAATTAAAACATTTTGAATTAAAATTTGATAACTTTTAAAATAAAACATGTTTTTTAACATAAATTTCAAAAAAATTTCTATGATAAAATCATTTTTTAAAATAAATTTTCAAGTAAAAACCTTTTCAACATTTACTTATTCAAAAATACCCGCCATGAAAGTACATTTTCCGACCGTGAAAATTCATCGAGCCGATTGCTTGACCAATCCACCAGAGGTATAGAAGCACCTATAGGAACACGTTCGATGGTTCGCTGATGTGATTGTTACTAAATAAAAAATTTAAAATAAGAAATAAAAATGAACTTTGCGTTGCGTTGTAATAAGAGAGAATGCAGCAAACGTATATTTGCGTCTTTTTCTCTCCCATTACGACGTAAAGCAAAACGCTGTCATGGGACTCCACCCTAAGGGTGCAATTCCATTACAGCAGAATACGTCGACCGAAAACAGAAAATCATGAGTGCGAAAGAGATAGATAGATATTGTTGTTCTTTTCACTCTCATGATTTTCTGCTTTCGGTCGACGTATTCTGCATACATGGGATCGCACCCTAAATCCTTTAAATAGGAAGCGGGATAATTTAAATAAAACAAGATTAAATTCCGTATAACGGAAGGGAAACACTGTAAAAAAGACCAATGTTGAATTACAATCAGGTCGTTAATTTTAAATTTTCCAGTTTGTAATTTTACTACGGTACACGTAATAATTTAACACCCATATAGTATTTTCACAATTAAAAAGTAAAATTATTACGCTTATCGTTGTAAATGTGTCACGCGTTAGTAAATGTACATCCCGAATGTTTAATCATTTCGTGATACATTGGAAACTTTTCGCTTCACGTATAACGTTGTATGTTAGCAACCCAACCGTAAAAATATTTTCGTGTGTTAAGTAACTTACAGCTGATAGTTTTACTGACAGTATGTAGAATTTTGCCCGAATGTTTTTCTACACTGCGTGACGATGAAGTGGCATATAAGAAACTATGCGCATAGGCAAATGTTAATATTTTAATTTCAATTTATTAAAATTTCGACAATTTTAAGAATTTAAAGATTAAAGGAAATTTGTAAAGGTAAGTTCAAATTCTTAACATTTTTCATTTCTTAAATTTGAAAGATTTCTTTTTAATTTTTCATATATATCAAAGTTAATAAGGTAATGTCTTTTAACCTAAAAAGAGACACGTTTTTAATGATTTTTTATACTTAAAAAATTTCATTCAACTGTGTGAATTTTCTGTATGAAAATAATTTTCAAACATAAAAAATTTTTTCAGAATATCTTCATGGACTCATGCATGGGTGGATACTTGTGATTGTCAAAATATTGTGATATTTAAAGACTGCATATTTCTGTTGGGGAATTCGTTAACTTTGTACAAATGACAAAAAAGCTACAAATGTGATTTGTATATTATATGTATATATTTAATATATTTATTTATTTTTTACATTTTTCTTCTATTTCCTTTTTATAATTTAACCTTTATGTAATACAAAATAAATATAAAAAAAGAATAATTTAAAAATGCCGTGAAATTATTATGTAAAATTACCGACGAGTGGTCGATTTACAATTTGATGCGAAATCACATAAGAGAGGTTATGTCACGAACGTTAAGTAAGTTAACATTCGGGCTGTAATAGTACTACGTCATACGTGAAGCGAAAAGTTTCCAACGTTACGTTGTAAATTTACATTGGGCTTTTTTACAGTGAACCCGTTCGAAAGAAGATAATTTATTTGTCTCCTTTCGAAGGTTAAGTCGATCATGCGCATTGAACTAAAGTTCAGTGTTGACATCAGGGAGTATAGACTTAAGGAGACCAATGTAGTGTGTATGAAATCAACCATTTTATGTCGGAAGTTCATGGTTCTGAATCTTCTCGTATAGCGCGCAACGATCGCATAGATAGCTGAAGTTTTAAAATGAACATGGATTTCTATAAGTTTACTAATTCATGTATATACTATATATTCAAATTATAAATATAAATATAATAATAATAAGATAACAATACAAAGTTTATATTACAGGGCTCGGATTGTGCGACTTTTTTGTGAAAAAATGTGCTTTTTACAGATTTTTTTGATTCAGGAGTGTCGATCGCTTGACATAACCTCAAACTAAAAAGTGATTTTTAACAGCAAATAAAACCATAAATAAAATGATTTCACCAAATTATGAAAGATCCAGTTGTACAATTATCAGGAAAAATTAGGTTGGACCAAAATTTGATGTAAAATCATAATTGTTAAACATTATGTGTTTTTTCTTTAAAGGTGCTTCTATACCTCCGGTGGATTGGTCAAGCAATCGGCTTGATGAATTTTCACGGTCGGAAAATGTACTTTCATGGCGGGTATTTTTGAATAAGTAAATGTTGAAATGGTTTTTACTTGAAAATTTATTTTAAAAAATGATTTTATCATAGGTAGAAATTCTTTTGAAAGTAATGTTAAGAACATGTTTTATTTTAAAAGTTATCAAATTTTAATTCAAAATGTTTTAATTTTCCAAAGAAGTGTAAAAAGCCTAATGTTTTTGAAATGCTAGTACAGACGGTACAGACTGTTTGTTATGAATGTACATAACCTAGCGTTGTGTTATCGTGCTTGTGATATTATTATATTCTAAATTTAATGATTTAATTATATTAAATAATAATGAACAGACAACACAACGCTAGGTTATGTACATTCATAACAAACAGTCTGTACCGTCTGTACTAGCACTTCAAAAACATTAGGCTTTTTACACTTCTTTGGAAAATTAAAACATTTTGAATTAAAATTTGATGACTTTTAAAATAAAACATGTTTTTTAACATTACTTTCAAAATAATTTCTATGATAAAATCATATTTTTAAATAAATTTTCAAGTAAAAACCTTTTCAACATTTACTTTTTCAAAAATACCCGCCATGAAAGTACATTTTCCAACCGTGAAAATTCATCAAGCCGATTGCTTGACCAATCCACCGGAGGTATAGAAGCACCTTAAGGGTCAGTAACCAATTTTGATAAATAATAGCTCATTCTACTCTTTGAAACATTCTCTACATTTCCACTCGTTGAATTTTGTGTAAAATATTTTGTTCAAAAGTTATTTAAAAAATTTTTTTTTATTTTATTTGCTCAACTATTGAACAAAATATTTTAAACAAAATTTAACAAATGTAATTGTAAAGAATGTTTTAAAGAACAGAATGAGCTACTATTTGTCATAATTGTTAGATCACTTTTTAGTTTGAGGTTATGTTTATAACCTCAAATTATAGTAATAATTAATTTTACTATAAAGGTCATGTTATTCAGTGGCCACGTGCCTATTAAAACTTTATTAAAATTATTGATAGAACATTAAACTCTTTTAATCAATTTTATTATAACTTTTATAAATAATTAAATTTTTTGAAGAATTTCTTTGTTTTTTTTAAATTGAATCCTTTAGTGAAGTTTTATAAAAATTGTATTAAAAATAATTGAATGTTTTCGAAGAATGTTATTATTTATGAAAATAAAATTCATTGTCATAATTTTATATTACCTATGTATTATTTGAAATTATTTTTAATTTAAAAATACAGCAAAAATAAGGTTAGGACGGTTAGGACTTAATCAAGCGACTATATATGCGATCGTTTGCCATCTACAGGATGTA